AGCGGGAGGACCTTCCCCGGCGTCCGTGCCCCGGTCAGGGACGACATTGTGCTGTTTTGCTACAGGATAAAAATGGCCTCTCGGCGGATCACACGGGAGACGTTTGATGCTGTAGTGCAGGACAAAGTTAAAAGGTATCGCATGGACCGAAGTGATGCTATAGAGGACACAATCCATCATTTTAAAGGTAATGAAACCCGGGCGTGACGTGCCGTGGATTATGCAGCTATTCCGGTAACAGCTATGTTAGATTTCTTGCCTTCCATTTATGTGTATTTGCCTAAAACGTGGACTTGTGCTGGTGCTTTTCCACATCCATTTTTATTTCAGAGGTTAATAGCTTGGTATGACTGATGCTATTTCAATGTGGAATGCAAATTCCAGGCAAAAAATTGAATTTCAAACAAAGGAATTCTGTTCAGGCTGCATCAGAGAGTGGGTCCAATTTCAGGGAGGTCTCCAGAGACATCGCTGCAGGATGGAATTCTCTTGATGTCTGATAAGTTAAATAAATGTAGGAGTGCATTTGAAGCCTTTTGGTCCTTGTATTTCATGCTATTTTTGGAGAAAAAGATAAAAGCAGGACATTAATCTAGTGAATGTATACAAAACATGATCTGCAAATTCTCTTATCTTCTAAATTTGATATTTAAAACGTCTAGAAAAATAACTTGGATTACATTCATAGGAAATTGAGAGTTTTAAAATGAGATCTCTTCTGTTTTCTTAAAGTTGTATAAGCTCCAAAGAAATCATTTATTTTAAATACTTAATTTGTTCAAGTATTCTTTACTTTCTGAATTTAACTACTGGAATTAGGGGATAGGGATTCTTGGATACTATGCAGGAAATTCTAATATTTCTGGCTTTAATGTTATCTTAGATAATTGTGTATGAGTTTGTAGAAAATATGATCTTCTGTTCAACTGTGGAATTCCAGCATTCAGTGTGGAAACAGAAAGTGCATGCTTTTGATTTTTTTACATCTGAGAAATCTGAGTAAAAGCATTATGAGCACAACATTAGCATCTTCCTAGACTGAGAAAGTTGTGAGCAAGTAGAAAATAGGGTTTATAGCAGAATTTGCGTTTCAGCTTTAGTGAGAATAGAATTTTTAATAAATTGTGTTGTCATGTGTGTTTAGGCATTGTTAATCATTTCTTGCTTTTTGCTTATTATGAGTTATTCGATGTATGTAAGAAAGCAAATGGGAATATCCTGAAGTTAGATTTGTGTACTGTTCTTCAGAAGTTGACTCTTGTAAGTGTCTAAATGTGTTTATTAATTTTTTTTCTTAATACTACTTGCAGTGCATTGGTGTATTTATGTTTTTATCCTTACAGCTCATTCAAGGCCAGTCCCAAGACCAAGATACGAAGACAGTTTTCATGATGATGGAAGATATACTCATGACAATGCCCAGCACCATCCACATGATGACTGGAGTGAAGACCCTAGAGATGACTATCCGGGACCTTCTTATAGATCTACTAGTCCTCTCATAAGGAAAGATAACTATTACCATGAACAGTATGGCCGCCCGGCGTCTCGTGACCGGGAATTTGGCCGCCCGGCATCTCGTGACCGGGAGTATGGGCGTCCAGCTTCGCATGATCGGGAGTATGGGCGTCCAGCTTCGCATGACCGGGAGTATGGGCACCCAGCATCTCACAATCGGGAGTACGGACGCCCAACTTCCCACGAGCGGGAGTATGGGGGCCTGGCTTCTCATGACCAGGACTATGGCCCTCCTGACTCTTGGGAATCCACCGGACCACACGAAACTGACTTTAGTTCTTCGGATATTTTAGGTGATTTTAGATCCCCAGGACTCATGGAAGATGAATATGGCAACATGGAAAATCAGGAGTATGATGTGGACTTTGGAATTCAATCTGACAGCGAGTTCCGACCTCCAATACGGAGGGGCAACATTGGCAGGGGAAGAGCTCTGCGAGGAAAGCGTATTACAAGGGGCGCTGTTAAAACTAAAGTATTCAAAGGAGATATCAAAACTCCCTTAAAGAAATGGAACACTAAAAAGCTGCAACCGGGCCCTGATCAGAAGCCAGCTATGCAACCTGATCAAATGCCAGAAGCTGCTGAACGACCTAACCAGAGGCCGGTGACCGTCCAGCGCCCTAATCCAAAGTTGCCTCCACGACCTAATCAGAGGCCAACTATAACAACCCAGAGACCTATTCTCAGGCTCCCAAAGCCTGCGCATGTTTTCAGAAATCTCAATTTTGACCTTGTGGACAAATCGGACATTTTTTCAACATTTGGAATAGAAATTATAAAATGGGCTGGGTTTCATGCAATAAAAAATGATGCAGAATTTTCCCGGCTCTTTGGAGCTCTCTTTGAGCTAGAGACAGAAACCTGTGCAAAAATGCTTGCTTCGTTCAAATGCTCCTTAAAGCCAGAACACAGAGATTATTGTTTCTTTACTATCAAGAGTTTACAACACGCTGCTCTGAAAACTCCCAAAGTGGACAATGAGTTTTTAAATATGCTATTGGACAAGGGTGCTGTGAAAACAAAGAACTGCTTCTTTGAAATAATAAAACCTTTTGATAAATACATAATGAGGCTACAAGACCGCCTCCTAAAAGGTGTTACACCGCTGCTTATGGCCTGCAATGCTTACGAATTAAGCATAAAGACGAGTGGTTTTGGTAATCCAAGAGAAATGGCAAGTGCTTTTGAGACCACTGTTTCTCTTTGTCGTAAGTCTTTAGCACTTCTGGGTCAGACCTTCGCGCTAGCATCTGTTTTTAGGCAAGAGAAAATACTTGAAGCCGTAGGGCTCCAGGAGATGGCTCCAGCACCAACACTGTTCCCAAACTTTGATGATTCAACGTTGTTTGGAAGAGAGTACATTGAAAACTTGAAGGCTTGGTTGGAGAAAAGTGGATATCCAATTCAGATGAAAAAAACTGAACCAGAGTCCACAGTACAGCTTAAGAAACCCTCTCCTGACACAAAAGTTAAAAGTGAGTGAACTGTTGTAAGATACTTTGCACTATATAATTTCTTTATTTGTCGCTAGCATTTTGTCTTAATTTTTATGGTTTCATTAGCTCAGGAATTCCTAATTCCGGGAATTCCATGTAAATCCCTAGCAGTGCTGAGGCAGGTAGTAAATACTGTCTGTTGTAGCAATCGCTTTCAGCTTTGTGGATGAAAGCATGCCTCCCTCCCCATTCCTGCACGTGCTTATACTTTAAATCTAGGATTTTCACCTTGTGCCCTTGGCTGCTTCAGCTGCCCTAACCTCCAGCTTCACAACTCCCTGGTAGGGAGGCCAGGACCACAGCTGTAACTGGCTACATCACAGAGTAAGTATTTGCATGTAAGCAAAGTTGGAGACGTTACCGTTACCACATTTATCAGATGCAGGCGTATTTCTTTGAAGTTGTTTATATACTACCATCTATAGGAATACTATCTCCTATACCGTATTAGGCCATCTAGTTCGTCCTCTCTAAAGCATTCTTACTCGTTACTATACTCATCTGGTTCTTCCTAATTGAACTTCAGATACTTTCGCAGGGAGGTCTTGCAGCACTGACGCTGAATGGCTAATAATTTGCAACTCACCCCCTCAGAGTGCTGTTCAAATATCCTTATTTTGCACAAAATCCTTTTGGTGCAGTAAGTAATTGCCATTTAAAGGATGGCTTAACTTGCCCAGGATGGCAAAGGATAAGTTTCTTAAACCACAGTGCTTCTCATAATAAACTGTTCTAGAATCTAAGTTGAGTTGAGAAAACAGTTGGAAAGTTTCTGAGGTTTCCTTAATTTATTCTAGTATTAAGTGCAGCCTTTTTTGTATTAATATGTTGAAAAATTGCAAATGTCAGTGTGTCAAAGAATAACAAAGACGACATATTGATACGCTGTTGATGAGAATAATACAATGACTGCATTTTATTTCTTCCTACAGCCCCACAGCGAGCTGATCGGAAAGTTGTAGAGACAATTGAACAGCTAGTGAATAGCATTGTTTCAGGAACCTTGTCTGCCAAAGAGAGAAATGCTCAGAAGAACTGTCCTGAATATTGGTAGGTGTGTTTGAACGGTATGTTGTAATACTACTCTCTGCTGAAGATACTTGGAATATATTTACTTAAATTCAGTATTTCCGTCAATGGGTGTAAGATCAAAGCCTATTGTATATTTAATCAGACGTTTTGAAAATGTTTCCTCAGGTAAATATACTTCCTGATATCCCTGGAAATTGTCCTGTTGCTTCTGTTTTGTCTAGTAGACCATGTTCCTTTTGATCTGTCAATAATGACTGTATGTCAATCCAAATACAAGATGTTAAAAGCAATTTACATTTACAAGATGAAAATAGTAAGCAAATGTAGTTAATATAAACATACAGTAAGGTAACAGACTTACGGATCTAGCGTTCTATGAATAATGTTGGAAAAGGAAAGCTGAGACACTTCCAAGTGTAATGATCTCTTAACATGACAGTATCTTTTCATGTGTGAATTGCAGCATAGCTGATTAATTACTAGCCAAATGATTTATGTCAAAACCCTCCATCATTTATTTGCTTGGCATATTTACTTACTGCTTTAGAAGTGGAGTTGGCTGTTACTCTGAGAAAAACCTATGCAGGGTAACGTTCATGTAGCAACTTGTGTAGACCCCTGGAAAAAAGGATCAATTGCTACTGAGTTTCTCATCTGAGAATTTGAGATTAGTTGTGCTTTCAGCTTAGGCTTTCATTTTATTTATATGATTTTATTTAGGTTCTTGTCTGATGAAGATAGTCTAGAATACAAGTATTACAGACTGAAGTTATCGGAGATGCAAAGGCGGACATCATCTGGAAAGGAAGTGGGTGGTGAGGGCAGAACACTAGAAGAATCTGCAACAGAATCAGTCAGGGCCATGTTGTATGCCAGGAAAGTTGCAAGTATTAAGAGAAGGCTATTTAAAAGAAAAAGGCTTGGAATTATCACACAACATGGTATTCGAGGAAGGAAGGTGAGGAGAGCAACCATAGGGACACAGACTGTGCTTTCAGCTGGTACGGTGCTGAAGCACCAAGAGAAGCATCTTCAAGGTTCAGTCCAGTCAAAGCCTTCTGTATCAGAAACCAGCCTGTCTGAGAAGAATTCTTCCCTCGATACAACCTCATCCTCACAATGTGCCGCCAGTTCAGAGGTGTCTCTGCCAGCAGAAGAAAGGGCAGATTCTGAGGATTTATTAGCACCACCTGAACTTTTCCCACCGTTGTCCTCTCAGTTTCCTGATGGTAAGTGCAGATTCAAGATGAGATTGTAAATTATATGAGAAAAAAATTGCATAGAATGTTCTGCTGGAAGTGCTAAAAATCATTTATTTTGCTAAAGGTGATATTTCTCAACTGTATTGACCTTCCTGTGATGCAGATTCTATATGAAGCTATAGATAACGAGCATTCTGTTTCTTGCAGTGGATGCTAAAACAATGGAAACTGCTGAGAAGCTTGCCAAGTTTGTTGCTCAGGTAGGACCAGAAATTGAGCAGTTCAGCATAGACAACAGTGCAGATAACCCAGATCTTTGGTGAGTAACCTACTCATTTATCTGTGTAAATGAGCCAATAAGGAAAATCAAAATACATCTAAACAATTACAAAAGAAATATTTCCTTTTATTATTTGTTGAGATGTATGCTTTTATTCAATGTGTTAAGGAAGAGAGGGTTTTGAGCAATACTCCCTGTTGGTCCTGCTCAGCACCTCCATTAATGGTGAATATCTGAAATGTCTAAGAAAGAAAAACACTTCTCCTAAATGCGGACATGCACTGATATATGTATTTCTTCTTTTATATCTTAAGTAATCAGCTTGCATCTTGAAACAGTGTTCTGCCAAAGTATTTTCAGTCTTGTTATTTTTTTAAGTGAGGCTTTGATTACAGTGGCCTAAGTGCTCTAGTATAAATTTGCAGAGTTATTTTTTCTTTTAGTCATACTGTGCCAACAAAAATGGAGCCCTATTATCTCTTCTGTCTCTCAGAATCAATACACCTATTTCCACATAGACTGCATGACTGAAATTTGGAAGACCTGAAGTCTCTTCTGGGGTCTGCTGTTTGCCTTCTGGGTCATCCAGAGTTAGCATCTTGTCTTAGTTTCTCCATCTATATAATGAAGATAATTGTACTGAATTCTTTACCACACAGTTTGAGAAGTGCTGTTAAAAAGCAGTCTGTAAGAATTGAGGAGAATGATTGCTGTTTGTAGTACATGTTGGGGAATCCTGCAGTTCTACAGAAACACACCTGGAATATCCATTCAAAAAATTAATAAGATATTTATTTCTAATGTCTTGCTTCATGCTAGCTGAAGAAAATATCCTTCTGACACTATTTTCACTGTAATTTTTGGTCAGGTTTCTACAGGATCGAAACAGTTCTGCTTTCAAATTTTACCGAATGAAAGTCTATGAGTTATGTCCATCTATTAACTTCAGTGCTGTGTCAGAAGCAACTGATGCTGGGGAAGGTGCTAAACCTGAAGAGAGAAATTTGGATATTTCAGAAGAGGAGGAGGATGAAGAAGAGGAGGAAGAAGATAATGAGGAGGAAGCTGAGTTTGAGGAGGATACCTCCCAGCCTTTGGAAGAAATGGAAATGGAGCAAGCAGAGGAGGGAGAAGAGGATGACATGTCAGCAGGTAGAAGTGTGGAAAACCTAGCTGAAGAGATGATTTCCAAAACAGGAGAGGAAATTTCAACAGGTGAAATGCAGCTAGCCGCATCATCTGATGGTGCTATACCAAATCTGTCGACACAGGCATCAACTCCTGCTCCTGGTACCCTATTTCCTCGCAAACGAATCAGCAGCAAGTCTCTGAAAGTTGGTATGATTCCTGCATCTAAAAGGATTTGCCTCATAGAAGAACCAAAAGGTGAGTGTTACTTAAAAGATATTTTGTAGGTATCAGTACAGAATTCCTGATTTTTATGTACTTTGTTACTGACTGTTATTGGCTAAGAGAATTACATTTCTTTAATAAAAAAATGAATACAATGTTCATTTTAAAGGTTCATTCAACTGACAAAGGGGAATCTGAATAAATTGTGTAACAGTTTTGTATTACAGCGCAATAGCAAAGTTTGCGTCAAACATCATTCCTCAAATATTCTCAAAGTATATGTGAATGTTAACCTCTGCCTGCTGCTTAAAAAACTCACAGTAGTAGTTTTTGCGGGGTTTATTTTATGTGTGTATGGAAGGTTTAACAGACTTTATAGCACTGAACATATTTTGAGTGTTTGACTAAATATGTTAGGCTGTGGATTTGCCCGTCAAATTTTGTCAATGTGGCCACAACGGGGGTGGGTCGTGATATTCCAAGAATCGAGAGAGAAGTAGCTTAAAGCTGATTATATGTGCTCTGCAGCTACTTTAACAAATGTCTCGTCTTTGCATAATGATTTTTACTGATGAAGGTTGTCATTTGTGAGATGAAAATGACGTACAATAACCTCATTTAAGTCCAGTCTGAATTTGCTATCAGGGTATTACAGAAGCTCAGGGAAATGAAAGATCTAAAGTCCTTATAGTATATCATCCATCACTGTATTGCTGGCATGGTATGTCCAAAACTAAATACATGCATTTCTAATTACCTTTTTTGTGGTGGAGGGGGAAAAAAAGTCTTACCATTTCTTTTTTTTTTATTCTGATCTTTCTTGTTCATTCTGATTTTAGGCCAAGGCATTGAGTTAAGAGTCCCACTTGAGATGTACTTTTGGAGTTCTGTATTAAAATTGGTTTTCTTTACAGCTGAATTTTGTCTTTGATTTGATTTGCAGTGCATGAACCTGTCAGAATTGCTTATGATAGGCCTCGTGGTTGCCCAGTTACAAAGAAGAAGAAGGTAAAGAACTCCTCTGGTTTGCCATTGTATTCTGAGAATCAACTGTCGTTACAAGAGACAGCCTCTGAAAATGTGTTATTGCCATAAAATCGAATTAAAACCTGAAGAGCCTGATCCTGAAAAAGACTGGATTAAATCTGAGGAGAGCCATGGCTCCTGTTGTCTTTTAACTACCTGTGTCAAAATGAAACAATTTATGATTAGAGCACTATTGACAGCTGTGTGTTAATCTTGTCTCCTATTTAAAAAAAAAAAAAAATCAGTGTAGTGCTGTCTGGAAAATATGTTGTAATTTCCCAGAATTGGTGAGAGACGTTACTTGACTGCTGTATTTGTAATAGGGATTCAGTCATCAGATCATTCAATATTTGTTATTAAAAAACATAAATACCTTTTAAAATATGAAGGTGTAGTCTTTGCTATTTTAATAATGTAATTAAACAGTTTGAGAACCTGAAAGAAATTTGTTAATTCTTTTTTTAAACTGGCAAGGCAGATATTTACTCTTTGATAGACTTTTTCTGTGTAGCTAGGGAAGTGCTGCTTAGAAGGTATTTCTGTATATGCAGAAATTCAAACACACTTAGTTTATAGGGTTGGGGTTTTTTTTTTTTTTTGAAGGATTTTTAATACATGATCTCCCTGTATAACAAAAATCCCTTTGTTTTTCTGTTTTTTTCCTCTCTGCAGAAACCAAAAGATTTAGAATTTTCACACAAGAAACTGACAAACAGGAATGTGGGTTTCCAGATGCTTCAGAAGATGGGCTGGCAAGAAGGACATGGCCTTGGTACACGAGGAAAAGGAATCAGAGAGCCTGTAAAAGTGTATGTAATGGGAACACACTACAGAAATTTGACAGCTCTGGAAAAGGCTGGGATTCTAATAGTAACTATGTTTATCTAACCCACCTAGATGTGGCCAGTTCAGTGTTTTGTTTCCTTCTTGACGCTGGCCTCTGGCCTCAGCACAGTTGAGCGTGGAGACTTCACGCGTTTTTCTGGCCAGGCTGGGCAAAGTCTGGTCTGGAAGGTGGCTGTTTCTTGCCATCCAATTTGACATCACTGAGGGCTACAGCATGAATGCTGCAGTGTGCGGACACTTTCTAAAGATATATGGGTGCTCCTGTTCTTCAGGAGGTGTTTTTTTGTTGTTTTTTTAACACATAGTAGTATCCTGGGGATCTCCTTGCTACCACGCCAGGTACATAATATACAAATAGACTTTACGAATGTCATACACAGTACTCCTAGGTTTAAGCAACAAATTTATTTTCACTCTAATTATGTGATTCATTCCGCTGCGTACTGAAAGAGGTAAGTGCATCTGCCAGAAGGTAAGTGTGCTTCTTCCTTTAAAATACACTTTTATTTTTGAATCTTCATTTTGTCTTTTAAAGTTGCTGTATCCAGTGTCCACTGCTGCCAGGACGGAGAATGGATAATACCTCCTCCAACTCCCTGACTGAATAAGGAGGCAGAAACTATTTATTTCTCTCTGAACCCATATGACAAGCTTTCTAGTCCACACACGTAGTCTGTGGTTTAACAGTCGTCTTTCTCCAGGGATTTCTATTTTCTCTTCATGCCTTGGACAGTACTGGTCATTTTAGTTGGTGGGATACTTCTGGTTGTTTGCTTTCTTTTTTCCTTAGTGCTCCCTGTGGTCCAGTGGCCATCACTATTTTTTCTGTATTTCCTTCTTCAGCAGCAAACGGACCATGAGAAAGCAGCTTACTTCGTCTGTAGCTCTCTTGTGTTCACCAGGGTTAGAACCTTGGTTCTTAACCTCAAAACTTGTTGGGACCAAATATATGAGTAATTTTTTTGTTTCTGTAGCTCCTGGCATGAGCGTCGCTGCACAGCTAATCATGAGCTATTTAATTGTATCTGGTCTGACAGCCCACCACATTCTAAAAGTTTCTGGCCATCTTTAAGAACTGCATTTTTAATATGTGAAAATACAGTTTTTCCAGCTTGAGTCCATTGCTATGTCACTCTTGTAAAGACACCTGCAAAGAGTAGTGAAGAACTGCTTTCTGCACCTCTTACAAAAACTTGTTGACCTTTTCTGTAATGTAGCGAGAACTCCATATTATTGATTATTTTCCCGGTGTGCACCTCTTCTTTACTTTCCCATCAAAGTCACTCTTCAGGCAACACTTTGGGACAATCTCAGTGAGGATGAAACCAGTGCAATTTAACATTTTGCTTTCTCTTCTTAGTTGCTTTGATATAGTGCGGGGCTGTTTCTTTTGCTTTCTCTTCTTAGTTGCTTTGATACAGTGCAGGGTTGGTTTTTTTTTTTTCATTTAGTAATCTGTAGCCTCTACTCTTTCCTCCCCTTTTGAAAACTACCAGCTCTTCTACTGATGACTTGTTTAAAAGTCCACATGCTGTCTAATCGCATTCTCTGAGCAAAAAGGGATGGATTAATAATTGGAGACACTCCAGTTCTAGTGTAGAGCATATCTCAATCATTATATAACACTGATATCTAAAACTGATGTATTCAAGCACATCAGTCGTTACACAAAGAAACTTGAGGCCCTTTTTTGCTAGGAAAGCTTAAAGCTTGTCTTTGGCTATGAGAGCAAGTCATATTTGCAGGTTTGAGGAGATTTTTATTTATGTTACTGTAAAAGATACATGAACTGCATGGTGACTCCTTATGGAAATGATGGGTCCAGAAATTTTAAATGGAGTTTCATGGTTAGTCTTGTGAGCTGTTCCCTGTCTTCAGAACTAATTTGTCACAGCTATGGGTCTGACCGATTCTACGGTTCAAGAGATGTTTTAAAAAAAAAAAAACAACAAACAAACCCCAAACCAAAACACACTCAAAGGCAGAACGTTGTTATGGGATAGATCCTCCTCTGAGTAATTATCTCATGTCTTTGATTAGTTTTTTTATTCTGAAAGTCATCTAGAAGAGGAACTGTGGTGCAAATAGAAAAAAACATCTGTTCTTTCTGTTTGGAAGTGTGAAGCAACCGTTGTGTAATGGAAACAGCAAATGAAGAGAGTCTGCTTCAAATAGGTCATACTATAAAAGGTGAAAAAAAGCAAAGTTTTGGGAGGTCTTTTAGGTGACTTTACTTCTAACCATAACTTAAAACGTAACTTAACTTGATCATACAGCTGCCAAGTCAGACTCTGTACCATTCAGAAGAAAAAACAGCACCCAGGATTTCTACTGTGGACTGTAAAGTTGAATTTGCTTTTTAGAGTCTGTGAATGTTCTTTTAGAATTGCACAACAATCCCCTTGGCTTAAGTGGACCTGTTATTACAGAAATTGGATAAGAATCTTTTTTCTTTATTCTATTTAAGGTCCTCAGATTTTACCCTGATAGCACAGAAATCCCAATTTTGGTACATGGGGCAATCTAAATTTTCTTACTTCACGTAATGAAATCTTTAATAGAGAATACTAATGTAACTGACTTGGAGGATAAAACTGGCACAGAGGATCATTCCTGTGGCAGAGGCTTCATTAATCTTAGCTTCGTAATGTCTACATTCTATGCACATAGCCTGGAGAAAGAGGTGGTTTTTAATTATTTGTATCTCTGCATTCTTGTGGGTCATCCTCTCCATCTACTTCCAGGGCAGAAAGTTGTTTTGATTTTGTTGAGGCCTGTCTGCTTCTGTTGGCACGTTTGGATGAAGAGAGATGAGTTAACGACTCATTTTTCTTGGAAGGGCAGGAGCTCCAGGTTTTGTCTGTGGTGTGTGTCCTACAAGACTTCAGCTTGCTTTGTGTGCTAGAAATTTTAAGCAAGAAGCATTATGTTCCCTTGGTAAAAATTTCATCTTTTATCCAGAGTCATGTGGTGTTTCCTACTCATTCCTCAAAGTCTCTGACTTCTGTCATTTTTGAAATGTAAGAAATAGGGCAATTTTTGCCATCTTTTCAACAGAGGATCCTATCTACCATGAATAAAGTGGTTAATACAAGAGTTCATGTAAGAATTCGATCTGTTAGATGACTATTATCTTCGCTGCTCCCTTAATGTCATAGGAGCATTTTCTTCTGGTGGGTATTTGCATGTGTAACGGGAGGTGGGAATTGTTTTATAGTTGATCTGGTGTGCCAGGTACCAAGCTTCCGCTCCCCTCCTCCCCCAAATGAAGCAGAATTACTCTTCACTTGAATTGTGTCTATGTTGGAAGCTATTGTTTAGATCTCTTCTGCACATTGTCAAATGTAACAGAAACAGAGTGTTCTAACTATTCATTTTACTCCCTAGGGGTGCTACCTCTGCAGGGGAGGGCTTGGGTGTTGCAGGGGAAGAAAATAAAGAAGATGCATTTGATGTTTTCCGTCAAAGAATGATACAAATGTACAGGCAGAAAAGAGCAAGTAAATAGGTATGTGCAATGGACGCCTCTGGTTTATGAATTCCTGCAAACATTAAAATACCAGGGTTTTTTAAGTCTTCCTTTACCAAGAAAATATTACTGTTTCCATGAGTATATCTGGCTTCTTAACATTTCATGAAAATCCAGACCTACGTTGAACTGCTTTGAACTGCTGAATTACCCCAAATCTTACTTTCTAGGTTTGACATAAGAGACTCGCTCGCTAGAAAGTGCACGGATATGCAAAGGCTGCTGTATGAAAGATCTTCGGCAGAGTATGCCAGTATGAAGAACACTTTGTTCTATAGTAGTGGACTTGAATACTAATGTATTAAAACGTTTTCCAAGATTAAAGTTAGTCTTGTATTTAATTGTGCAAGCTAACAACTTGGATGTCATCTTCTGAGGAAGAAACAACTGATTTTGTTCTCGGAAGTGCCTGTTTACCTCTCTCTTTGGCCAAGTTTGCCTGTTTTGTGATGAGATGGCTTACCAAAAAAAAAAGGAATAAGCAACATGAAAAATATGACTAGCCTGGTTTGGCTCTGATCCTTTCTGAAGCCAAGAATCTTCTCAAATTCAGATCTTCTTGCAAGGGAGTTCAGATTTTATTTTACTACATTTTATTGATGGGCTAATCTTCTGATCTACTTCTGGAGTCTGCATAAAGCAGTTTCCTTTCCTCCATACGCCAATTTTAAGAAGAGTCTTTACCTGCGTGCTTATTTTGTATAGGATTCTAGACTTTAAGTGTAGGATGAATAACGGATTTCATCTGAGTCTGAGAACACTAAACTCTTCCTTGAAAACCTCGGCTGCTAAGGTTTTTCATTGTAATGAACAAGTAGTACATATTTTAAGTGTACTTTTTGTTTTTACACAAATTTGCAGCTCTTCTCCAACAAATTCTTGAATAATTTCTTTCCTTCTCAAAGAAGTTTAAGCCATAAGCAGGTGCAATTCATGTGTCAGCAGAAAATACTGAAGAAAATACTTGGAAGTCAGATATTCGGAAGTCATCTGGAAGTGGATCATCAGTTTTATAAGACCATCAGTTTAGAGAGCCATTTCTGTTTCTATTAAATTTGATTTGCAGAAGTTTTTACTGAAAAATCCCAAGAAATAAGACAAAAAGCTTGTACTTTTAAGGGACTATTCCAGAACTTACTGAAAGAGAAGACTGGATTAATCTACTGTGCTTCAACAAAAAGCATTACCTAACTGCTTGGTGAAGCAGTTCTGAAGGCATGAAAGATTTAGCAGTGTTACCACAAATAAACGTTCAAGGTCTGATCATTCATCTTTTCCCGACTTGCACATCAATAAGGGATCTGTGACTGGATTACTGGAAGTGACAGAATTTAATATCGCACTTTTTAGTGTACTCATTCTCCATCATTACCTTTCTAAAACTAGTCAAAAGTCTTCACTTGAATGTTATAGTACCAAAACCTACTTCACTGAAGTTTTCTTTAAAGAGTTTATCTTGAGCTGACGCGTGTTTTGCTTACTAGGAGTGAGTGCTGTCTTGCTGTTGTTTTCATCCTGCACCATGCTTCTTGTAGAGCAAAGAGCTTGTGGTACACCACTAATAGCACCCCACAGTAATGTGGCAGCGTCTCAAGTTCCTAACTGACAAATATGCAAGAAAATGTGTTCTTCAGTTATCAACTTGCCTGTGCCTGCTGTTTAAAGAACAAAATTATATTCTTTCTCCATTAAAAACCCTGCTGGTTGAAAGGGAGTGTCTTCATTTTCATTCTGTAGCAACAAACTTCTCCTTGCTTGTAACAACCAGTTTTAGTTTATGAGTGCAAGGGGTTTTTTTTTTCTTTACTGTATGGGTCTTTGAAACCATGAGAACAAAATCATGTCACAGTGTAATTTTCTGATCACTCAGTGTCAGTTGCCTTGAAGCACATAATCACTAAATAAAACCACGATGGCAGGTATAGAAAAATATGCTGGTAGTTCCGTTTTTCCATGAACATCACGTGTGTCTTCACCTTTACATGACAAGAAGTTGAAGCACGAAGGCTATACGTACAAATAAGTTTATCTGGTTGTCAGACTTGATTAAGGACACTTGATAGCCCAGACATTTCTCATAGGCTTTACTTGGAGATATTTAAAATCCTTAAACGTTTTGGACCACGGGCTACTTGAAAGATCATCAATTACAGCATTTGGCAGTGTATGGTTACCTGTTAAATTCCTGTTTGGGTGCGTTCTTCACTGCCCCTCTTTCTTTCCTGTGCCTAATTAGCAGTTACGCAGTGTAAAACTTGAGCCTTTTGAAAAGGAGATCTGCCAGTCGCAGTCTGTTTTAGAATGACACTCTGGAACCAATACTGTTGGCCTCTGATTTATTTCTCAGACCCACTCAGAGGGTTTAGCTTTTCTTTTAGTTTCATTGATGAAGCTGCCAGTGTTCACAATTTTTATTTCCCTGCAAACTTCCAGTTCACCTCTTCTTTCACATTTACATTTTGGAAGGATTCTTGATTATATGTTACACTATTTGCAGAAAGGCACAAGGCGAAGTGTAGTTTCACACTAGATTGAAACCCCCTCTCTCAGACCCAGATCAGCATTCTGCGCTGCTCTGATTTAACCTGAGTTTGTGGGGCATAGTACCATTCGGGGTGCATTTCCTAAACACCTGCTTACCCAATCTGGGAAAATTGTTGGTGTCCAGATTGGAGAATGGTACCGTCCTTTCTGAGTGCAATTCAATTTAGAGTACAATGCTGTCTTGAGAATAAAGGTGAACGTTGGGAAAATCTTAATCTGCTACCCTGGATGACTGTAGTATGGTCTGTCTTTCTTGTGCCAAACTTTAATTTTGGACAAGGTATCAGCAGAGCAGTACTGGTGCTGAGATTCCAGTGTTGCTCTCAAGTGGGTTAGCGTTTGCCACTTGTATCTTGTTTTACCAAGAGATGACCTTACGCTCCTTTTGCAAAAGGAATTTCCTTTTATTTTGACCTGCTTTTGCAGGCAGTTCTGATTTGAAAAATTTAAATACTTGTACATGTGAAACATTTGTTATGCAGACACATTGCCTTGTTTAAAGTTTACTAGCTTCTTTTCTGTTATTTTAGTTCCAGGCTCTCTTCCATGAAGACTGCAAGCTTCAGTGAACATTTTAACTAACTTCAGTGGTGTGTCTACTGTCTTTTGGTTGGTTTTTGCCATTAATCTTGTAGAGCAATTTGCTAGTTTCTGTTCCGTGCAAATTGGCAGTAGTGCTAAGCTAGTAACAATTAGATGCTTATGTTATTGGATAACTGACATTTCTTTTTAGTGTAAGTAAACATGTTAGCATTGTTAATCTTTTAATATCTGCAATAAATGTAGAACTAAACAATTTCTGGTTTAAATGTTTTGCTTGTGAATTTGGCCATTTGTAAGAGATATGCATCATTTTGGCACTAACAAGTGGAATTGAGATTATGCAGTGTTACATTAGTGTAAAGCAGGATTTAATAGTGTATGAGGGAAGAAAGGTCCCTCTGTTTCTGTGCTGCTACACGTCTCTGTTGAGAATACCCACTAAATCATTTCTTAGTTACTTTTTCATGTGGCTTCTAGTGCATTAAATCCATACACAACAGTGTTACTTTCCACATGAACACCAAAACCGTTGTGCCCCAGATAGAATGCAAGAGGTTTACCCTTTATTCACGTATCCCAGGAATTAGTTGTCTCTCTGATTTTCTTGGTGTACTGACTTTAAAACAGCAAAACTTTCTCTTTACATACGTGTGTGGTTTACTGTTGCCTTTAAATTCAAATTCCTTTTTTAGACAGGATATGAGGGGGAAAATTGCAACGAACTGAAATTTAACACTGGTGCAGCCGCCTTCTATCGAGAGGTAAAGTGAGAGTGTTCATTTGCGAAAGATACCAGCCAGGTCTCCTGTCCCTTGCTTTTACACTGACAGCTAGGAAAAGCTTTACAGAGGCAAGTTCAAGCCCTGGCTACACCTTTTTCCTCCTTTTCCTTCAAAAATTTATTATACATGAGGACCTGGTTCTAGAAGAAAGGACGTTTGCTCTCGTTGGAGAGAAATGAGGAGATCCCCATTTTGGGGGAGGTGCCCTAACAGAGTAAGAGAACTACAGTCAATAATACACTGTTTGGAGTAATTGTGTTGGACTAAAAGAGATGTTTTCTTTTTTTTTTTGCCTTCAAAGCTTTTCTTTGGTGTAATACCAATGACATTTTTCCTATTTATTTTTGGGGTTTTTTAGAAGACACTACAGCATCCTTAGTGTGAACACTTAATCTGTGCTGAGATGTTACTTCTCAAAATCAATGTACAGTATTTTTTTCTATTGATATTCTGTTCTGCTTTAAAGTTAATCCTGATGTATTGTGCCCAAAGAAAGTCTGGACTCAGAAATTCAAACACTGTTATTTTGGATTGTCTTCTATCCTACAAGCAGGTGTATTTTCTAATTAAAAATGAATTCGTGAAAGTCCTGTATCATCTTTAACTCTGCATATCTCATGACTGAGTGGCCAATCACAACCAGACTGTAGATTTGAGCAATAATAAACACCTTAAATGAGAATATGCTCAAAGAACAATAGGGTACTTCTGAAATAAATAGTTTTTGTGAACCTTGTTAAGTAGGTAACTTGCTGAATTGCAGCAAGTGTGGAAAATGTTTGCATTATCTGTGGGCAATAAAGTTACTGCTGTTTAAGAAAGCGCTAGCACAGAGTGTGTTCTCTTCAGCTTTTTGTGCCTAATTCATGTCGTTAGAAGGTTGTGCTGATTTCCTTTAAAATTATTTCCTAGACAAGACTTTGCTTTGAAGAGGAAGGCATATTTCATTATCCTGCCACTGGGTAATAAAGCAATAGTAAAACAGCAAATACAAAGCAATAAAATCTAATTTTTACAACAGCTGCCTCTTTGGCAGAAGTTCTTTATAGACAATTGATTTGTGGGGTTAACAAAAGTTCTATCTTTGAACAGTTTACAAGACGTATTTCAGAAACCGGAACTATTGTTGGATGGGAAATAAGAATTTTGAAAAACAATCTAAAATGAGAGATCATTACGAGGTCACACAACACAAACATGAAAAGAGAATCCGTAAGTTCTGGCTTTATTTGATGCCTTATCGGTTGCTGTGTGTTATTTACCGATGCCAGTGGGAGGAAGGATAGCAGAGGGCGTTCCGCAAAGTTCTCGTTTGTCGTGTACACCGAGCACAGAAAAACCCATGGTTTATTTTACTGTTCAAGCCTGGTAATTAAATCCAAGTCACTAAGAGGATGCAGATCAGTTTTCATCCATATGCAAACGTCAGTTACGTGCATTTCACAAAACTGAACATAAATACCCAAGATAAGTTGTGCAGGAGTGTAATTTGACGCAGAGAAAAGCAAGTGTTTCTCCCGCGCATCAGCAGTAGGTTCCATCCGCTGGTCCCGCCACGGTGATCTAGTGAGAAGCCAAGCGTTAGGACGCGTAGCGGGCGAGACGGGCTTTACCGTGAAGCGAGGAGAACGGTTTTGTTCCGATTTCTCCTTAGGTCTCCGTACAGCCCCTAGCCTAGGGGAGGTCGGTACCTCCGTTTCACAGCACCCGTCCCTCCCGCGAGTCTCCGGCACCGACTGGAGGTCCTTCCTCCAGGGGCCTGCGCGGCTCCCTCCCCGCGGTCACCCGGTCCCCGGCGGGGGGGAAGGCGGGACCGGGGCTGCCCCGCT